TATTCTAAATATCTTATTATAGAGAGAAGTTACTGTAGATATAAGTAATTAGTTATTATTATTATTAACATAGAGTTAATAACCGATGTAATAAAGAATAATAAAATAAAACGTATATAGTAATCGCTTCATTGTAAATCAATTGAATCATAATTATTAACAAAAATCTGTTTTATTTTTATTGCAGTGCTTTATGACATACAATGTTTTTTGTTTGATTACCTGGTTAATATACAAAACAAATCTGTTTGTTTTCCAACACGGGACCAGGCAACATACAATTGACCAAGTGAGAAACATGGGTTTTCTAGATTAATACCACAAACACATAAAGATTGCCCCTGGAACTTATTTATGGTCATAGCAAAAGCAAGCCGCACTGGAAACTGTAGTCTGTAGACTGATGTGACTGGATTCTATGTAGCAAGGTTGCCACAATAGTGTTAACAGTTGTGTTGTGACATTATTTATGATCAATTTTGGAAATTAATTTGATAATAACTGCCTCAACAGGGTGATGTGACTCATTGTTTGTAAAAACCAGACTATTATTGCTTATTGTTCATTTCACCTTGACATAGAATTATTTTATTGTTTATTTCAGATTGTGTATTTGGCTTTGACATCGACTTGGTGCTTGGAGTAGCCTAGCAGATCAATTCCTATTTTTTAAAGATGCATCAGCATAAGCCTATAACCATACCAATGAACTCAAGGGGTGCATTAATGCTTAAACTATCGAGAAAAGACGCAGCTGCTGCCTACGAAATAGTGAAACAGAAAAAAGACAAGCCACCACTTTCCCCTTCAAGTAAGTCTGCAAGTAGCTAGTTAATCTACCTAGCCTTTCTTCTAATTGTGAGCTTGCTACACGTGCAAATGCTACAGAAATCTTTTTTAGACCTAAATGTATAACGTAATCATTAATTAATATTATGTTTTGTTTCTAGGGGTTGAAAGTGATCATGAAGCAGGACCTGGATACATCGAATGTCTAGAAGACGTGCCTGTAACACAGCATGCTGAACCATTATTTCTTCTGCGATCGGGAGAGAGCCTAATTCAAGAGAACGATAAGTACCTTATGAACCGTAACTAGACTGATACCTTAAATAGTTCTTCTGTAACCTATGCCAATTTGGAGAATGTAGCGCCCTTCACGGAAAGTTTTATTCTCTCAAAGTGTGTGCCAACAGCTTCACATATTGAAGCCAATCATATTGATAAGTCTGAAAACAATTACTGTAACGAAACTACGGCTGTTATTCAATGTTATCTTAAGCCTTCCACATCTTTTCTTCCCCAATCTGGGGAAAGCATAGTCCAAGAGAACGATGAGTACCTGGCTAATCGTAATGAGACTAATACCTTAAATAGATCCTGTATGACTGATGATAGTTTGGAAAATGTTGAGCCTTACCCTCTCAGAGTGTAGTAATTTCAAAGTATGTACCAACAACTTCCCAAATTGAAGCCGATCGTATTGAAAAGTCTGATTTTGATAGTGACGACTCAGTGGCCGACCCTAATTATATTCCTGACAGTGAGATTGGTCAAAGAATATCAACCACCGACCCTTCAGTCAAACTAATAATTGACTCTCCTGTGAAATGTACAAAAAAGAGGCAAAAAACCCCACTTAAGAGGGACATTGTTAAGAAGTTGAGAAACGAAGGGAAAGCATATTCTTCTCTGACTAGCAAAAAAGTTGTACAAGCAAGAAAAATGCTGCCTCCATGTCCAGAAAGCTGCAAATTTAATTGTCCATCTCGCATTAGCCATAACGATAGACAGAATATTTTCCAAAATTACTGGGATATGGGGTCTTTGCAAGCACAAAGAAACTATATTTCCAGTTCCATGACAAATTGTCCCAAAAGTCCGGTTCACGTACAAGGAAAAACCAAGACATGCCAACAATTCCTTTCACTTTTAAGTAGCAGGGGTAAGGATTAGAGTTTGTAAGCTCTTCTACATGAATACTCTAGGCATCAATGATCGCCCGATACGAACAGTTGTTAAAAAACAAACGATATGGGCTTTCTGCAGCCAGAAGGAAGGGGTAGACATGGCAAACATAAAACTCTTAGCCCGAAAGTTAAAGATTCTGTACGTGATTTCATAAAGAAGATACCAAGAATCGAGAGTCACTATACAGGCAAGTCTACCGAGAATTATAGATGGTCAAAGCTTAGCTGACATTTACCGTGACTTTCTATGAATAAAAAAAGAAGGGAAGAAGCTGCCTCCTTGGTTACTTTTTCTCGTATATTTCGGAATGAATTTAACATTTCCTTCTTCATCCCAAAAAAGACCAATATGGTCTGTGTAAAGCTCTCAAAAATGACCCAAATGACCAAAAGATTCAAGATTATGAAAACCATCAATACGAAAAAGTGCTGAGCAGGATTGCCAAAGAGTTAGACAAGAACAAAGCGAAAGGAAAATCCGCTTCACTATGTCTGCTGCTTTGACTTACAAAAGGTTATGCCATGTCCCATTGGCAATGTTTCTCTTTTTTACTATAAGTCAAAACTTAATTGTTACAATTTCACTGTAACTAATATCATTAATTTAAACACAACTTGTTACTTTTGGTACCAAGGCGAAGGCATGTCGAGGTGCTAACGAAATAGCAACTTGTATATTTTTAATTATCTCACAAAGTTGTCAAAAGAGGTAGATAATGATAATTTAGAAGTTACTTTGTACTCTGATAATTGTTGTGGCCAAAACAAGAACAGGTACATAATATCAATGTATAACGCCGCTCATGCTGTCATTGAAAATCAAATTAAGAAGACCTTGAGAAGTAGACCCATCTTAAGGACATCAACAAAACGAGGGAAAGAGTTCACTATTAATTAATTGTCTTACAAAGACTTTCTAGATTTCAAAAGTCTTCAGAAGCAGCTGGGATCAAATTTTGAGATTGATCAATCAGGCCAAAAGCACAAAATAACTGAAATTAAAATGATGAGGTTTGAGAAGTCCCGACCTGAATTCTTTTTACTTGAACACAAGCTACGAAGACGAAATGCAAGAAGTTACTTTCTGCCAAAGAGTCAATAAGGTCCCCTCGAAAATTCCCAATTTACTGCCAGCCTACAAAAATAGAATGTCTATTGATGCTAATAATATAAAAGATATAGAGATTTAATTAAGGTACGTGCAATAGCTTGGAGCTATGAGCCAGTTTTCGAATCAATGTTTGAAACTTAGAGGAAATTGTAAAATGGTCGTTTCCCAGTCGTTCTTATTTTGTCCTTTGTTCCTTGTAGTTATTAAAAGAATAAATTTCACTATTAAAAGCAAAATATTTTTTATTTGACATTATAAACTTGATATCCTACACCAATTTTTAGGAGAAAAAAACCGAAGACAAAAATTAGCATTGGTAAGTTATGAGAGCACACAATTAACAATTAAAAGAAAATAGCAAACTTTGTTTCGCGTCTCCTGTAAACTTACGTTTTTGGGGGTTTTGGCAGTATTTAAGTCGATGAGCGATATTATGATGACCCCAGTTAACCATGTACACATGTTCGGCTACTTATTAAAGTTTTCGAGTCAAAAAAATTGAACTTGAGCATTTTATTACAAATTATTACAATATATTCTGTCGCTCTTTGCATATTTGACTGTCTAGTAATGTCTTGGCATGCCTTCTGGGAGTTGAAAGTTTCCGCAATTGTTTTTCTTTAGACCAAACTTCTATCAATCGTTCGATCACATCGACTATTAATGATACTAATTTCGTTAGATAATTCTTTAGTTATTAATTTTTGATAGCTTTCCAAACTTTTAGGTCAAGCCAAATTCCAGGCTAATCAGTTGGACATGTCCTCGATTTATAGAGTTTAGTAAAACTTTTGATAGAATTGACTTTATTTAATAATAACTATTATTGTCTTGATATTTTAAATATTGTCATTATTTTTCAATTACTACAATCTCTCTAAAGTTTTTTCCGTTTTTCTTTAACAAATACATCTTAACTTCTACTCGCCCCAAAGTACTTGATAATGAAACAATTGGTCTAAATTTTTGCATCTGTTTATAACATATATATTATTCCTATAAAAATTATTTTAATATAATATATAATTATTCCTTAGTCACATTTTAATAACTAAACTAATTTTAATAACTAAATTGTACCTAAATTTTGGTAAACACAACGTAGAGTAAAGATATAAAAAGCACGATGTTTGTTTTCAATACTCAACAAAAATTTTAATATTTTAAAACAGTAGTAATTTCCTCTCATTTTAAACTTGAAATTAGTAGCAACTTAAATAATTGGTTCAAAAATAAGTTGGATGTTTAGCCATAACATGCACCATGCATGTAATCATAATGTACAACTATAAATTTACTTACATTATTGAAAGAAAGCGTTGCACTAGTTTCAAATTCCAAAATAGATTTGAAAATCCGATTTTTCCGCACTTTCGCATGTGTTTTCATTTTATATTTCGTGCTAGGACATCTAACGACAAAACGTCAAAACTTCACTGTCATTTTTTGAATTTATAGTCAAGTTTTGAACCATTGCTGATAGAGCCATCTAGTCTAGGAATTACTAAAGAGACTAACATTAAGAAATAATAATAAAAATAGGACACAGAAAAATGATGAATAATTTAATTACTTAACGCAAGTTGAATAATATTAAATATTGAGATTTACCACAGATTTGTTTAAAATATTTACGTATTTATTTTTATTTTAACGTTGGATCTGCTATCTCCTTTACACACCAATAAAGGCTATGCATTTCGCTTTAGTGATGAGATGTAAGATGTTAAAAATATGTTTTGCATCTATCAATAGAACCCAATTTATTTAATTAAGAACATATTAGTTAATTATTACGTTAAAAGCCTGCATTTTTGACAATAATTATTAAATAAAACACTTTTCCTGCTGTTTGTAGCTCATGTTCTACTATTGTTCTCACGATTTCTCAGGTCTGTCATGTCAGTGTCATTGAAAATGAAGTGACAAGCATTGTTAAAAACCACTTGAGCTTTTGTTTATTTGCTTTTGAGCACATTTACATGAGTTTCTTTTATGTTAAAAACCATGCACAACGATGAAAAAGACTTAGACTACCGCAATAAAAAGCAGCCTTGTAGGTATTATTTATTATGGCAGCCTCAGCTTGTGATATAGAAGAATTCCTTACAGGACCCCTTGTAAAATGGGTATGAAACATCCAAAACAACATGCAAATTATGCTAATAGCGTTATTTTTAGCTCTCTACTTGTGTCAAGAGGCCCGAAACCTTGCAAGTATACGAAACATTTTTCGACGGAGCCCCAATCAACGAGGTGCTTCTTCAAATAGACCCCGAACCGTCGCAACCAGTGCCTTCCACTTCAAATTTACAAGGTCTCAGTATAACGGCAGCTAGGACGAAGATCTTCCATTGCATTATAAAGAATATAAGAACTGTGTATGAAGATGAATTGGGACAGATCGTAATTTCTGTTCCTGATTGTGTGATATTGGGCAGAGCACCTGCTTCTCATACAGCTCTAGAGCAGCTGAAGCTGTTGATTTTGCTCTTGCTAGGGTGTGCAGTGCAGGGGCCCACAAAGGAGATATTTATATCCAAAATTAAGGAGCAATCTCTTGATGATCAACATGACATTGTTGAATGTATTAAAAGGGTGAGTATTTCCAACAGTTTAGGGTTTTATCAAGATTAGACGCTTTCTATATTCTTTGGTTTATATTCACATAAAGATTTGCTGGTAATACATATTATTTAAGACAAGACAGACTAAGTAGGAGATATTTAAATATGAATTGGAAATTGAAGGTAATTAACAAATTACCAGATCCAGAAACCAAAAGTACCAGAATACCAAAAAGGTAGCAGATCCAGAAAAGATACAAACAAAATGTAAGATCAATGAAATAAAAATGATACTGACTTTTTAAAATGTGTTATGTCTGGCCAAAATATAGTATGTATAAAATTTGTATTTGTAGGTTACTGATGACCAATGCATAGTCCTCACCCTAGATTGGACAGATCAAGAGCCACAGAAACTATACTACCACATAAGAAATCTTACAGGAGAAAGAGAAAAACTGGTTCAGCAATGGGTCACAGATTTAGGCCAGGAAACAACATCTTTAGGCTCTGCACAAAATGCAAGCAACCAGGGAGTAGAGTCAAACCATTTGGCTGTGGAGCTGGCAGATTGGAAAGCCAGGATGAGGAAACAGAGACAGGAACTGTGAGTATGGATATGTGGGTTACTATAGCTCTCTTTATGTATTATTAAACTAAATTTTTCTGTTATAAGACTTGAAGTCTGTGTATTGACATTTGTTTAATGTCTACCAAAGAAAATGCTCAGTTAAAATAAAGTTTAAATTTTATGGTTCTGTTCAGTGAGTTGCATTCATCAGATCATGATATTGGCTAAAGTCATTTCCCAGGATCTGAATCCTGTTAATAAGAGAGAATTTGCCATAGTGTGATAGTGTTTTTATAGAAAACAAAAGCATGTCTCTAAGAATTCTAGTGTTACATCTAAAGTTGATAAGACTTCTTCTCTTCTTCTACTTTTTGTATATCTTTCGATCTGTTTAATTCTGAAGCTGCCTCTAGTTAATTTCTTGGGAGGTAGATTGCCAACTATCCCTCCATCTTTTAGGTGGTCTTCCGGGGGGTCTTGAACCGGGACGATTGTTTTCTAGGGCAATTTTTGGGAGTCTATTCTCTGATAAGACTTAATAAATCAAAATAGTCAGTGGTATGGTCAAGTAGTTTATGGAGAAAAACTAGATCACATTTAGTTCTGTAGTCTTCTAAGGAACTGATATTTAGCCTTGACCTTAGTTCTACCGAAGACATGTTCCTTAAGTTTAATTTATAAGCACAAATCCGGAGAAACTTATTTTGAATTTTTTTAAGGGTGTGAATATGGTTAAAATAGTATGGTGACCATACTATAGAAGCATAAGACAGGATGCTATGGACGAAAGTAAGATATAAAATTCTATATGTGGGTACTTACTGAAAGATCTCGAGAGTTTCTTGTGATAAAACCTAGATTTCTGTAAACTTTATTTGACAAATTGTTGATGTGGGGGATAAATGACAAGGAACTGTTAAATAACACTCCCAAATCTTTTATTTCAGTCACTCTTGATAGAAGGCTTGTATTAATGGGATAGTCAAACATAACATTATTTTTAGATTTGCTATAGGATATAACAAAACACTTATCTTTATTTAACTGGAGACCATTGGAAAGAGACCAATTATACAGGGAAGTAAGGACTTCCTGGATCCTTAGAAAATCAGATAGATTTGAGACTTTAAAATATAACTTAAGGTCATCAGCAAATAGCAAAAACTGACAAACCTTTATTACCTCGGAAATATCATTAATAACAAATTAAAGAGACCCTCATGTGAACCTTGTGGGACCCCTGAACTGACAAAGATAGGAATTGAAAGTGAACCCTTTATAAAAAAACTGAATTCTTTCATCAAGATTACTGTGTCAAAAGCCTTCAAGAATTCAGTATAGATGGAGTCCACTTGGTACCCATCCTTGAAACCCTGATAATGTAATCTTCTTCTTCTTCTTTTTAATAGCAAAATGCTTGTTCAATGTCGATTAGTGCCTCTATTGGAGGTTATCACTCCATCTTTTGCGTGGTCGCCCGATACTTCTTCTACCTCTTGGTGATTTGTCCCTCGCTATTCTTACTAATCGGGTCTCTTCCATTCTGTTTATGTGTTCGTTCCATTCCTTTTTTCTGTTCAGTGTCCACTCATTTATTTCTGGTATATTGCATTTTCTTCTGATCTCTTCACTCCTCATTTGATCCCTCAGTGTGTTTCCTGTAATTCTCCTCAGTAAACGCATCTCCGCTGTTTCTAGTAGTTGCTGAGTTTTGGAGGTATCTGGTCTTGTCTCTGAAGTGTATGTCATTATTGGTCTTATTGTTGCTTTGTAGATTCTTGATTTCACGTCGGTATTAATGTGGGGATTGTGCCATATCGTGTTATTAAGACAACCTGCTATTTTATTAGCCTTTTGTACTTGATTTTTTACTTCCTTATCCACATCTGATAATGTAATCATGATACAAAACAAGATTTGTAGATGTAGATTTACCCTGCCTAAATCCATGTTGCTCATTAATCAAGAGATTCCTACAATGCCAAGTAAGATATTTGTTTAGAATTAGTTCAAAAAGTTTAGGGATGGCAGATAACATAACAACAGGCCTATAATTTTTTATATTGTCTCTGTCACCATTTTTAAATACAGGAGTTATATAACTGTCACCCCACTTACTAGGGAAGGTGTGTAGTCTCAAAGATAAATTAAATAATACATGTAAAGGTTTGGATAGACTGTAGACACATCTTTTTAAGAAATATGTAGGAATATTATCAGGGCCATAACTCAGTTTATCCTTTAGACCATTTATAGACTTCAGAAAGTGAAAATTGGATAAATGGAATGTCAACAGAATTTCTTTACTTTAAAAAATTGGATTTACGTTACTTAAATTAACTTTTTCTGAGCTATAGACACTAGAGAAATGGCTCGCAAACAAGTTTGCTATTTCCTCACTTGATTCAGCTAACAAGTCATTAAAATGCATGACATTTGGAATTCTGTGGCTTTTATTCAAAGAGTTTATATGGTTCCAAAATTGTTTTGAGTCTGAGTGAATAGATTCCTCAATGTTGGAGATATAAGATCTGTAGCATTGATCTGTTAATGTTTTGCATTGTGTTCTAAGATCTGAAAATAAGGTATAATCAGCTGCTAACTGAGTATGTTTGAATCTAGCATGAGCAGTTTTTTTTAAATAACAAGTTTTTTTAAATCTGGAGAAAACCAAAGAGGAAATTTTGAAGGTTTATATGTTTTTTTCGGAACAAAGAGTGATATTGCTTCAGAAAGAACTTCATAGAAATTATTTACTGAGATATTAATATTTGAATCATCAAAAACAATATTCCAGTCAACTGAAGAAAGATAATTATTTAGACCTACAAAATTTGCATTATGATAGTCAAAATATGTAGTATTATAATCTAATTGTTTAACATTACCATTAAAACTAAGATCACAAGTAATTGCCACATGATGAAAGTTATTGGGAAGCAAAGTGTCCACTGCTTCATACACTGACAGTTTCTCATAGTCTTCTGTGAAATGAGATCCAAAAATACTCCATGTTGATTCAGTATAATATTTGATTGCCTCAGGTTCAGGCAAGAGAAGCATTCGACATATTAGCTTTGCTGGATAGTCAACGAGCAAGCCCTCTTTATTTGAGTAAGCCCAAGAAGCTAGTGGTAAATTGTAGTCGCCAAATAAATATACAGATACATCTGGCCTATTGTTTTTAATAGTTTCAACTGCCGAGCAATGACTAAGGTAAATATCTTCTGATGAGTTTGGAGGAATGTACACTCTATTCAAGATAAATGATGCACATTCTTTATACACCTTGAACAAACAGATGGTCAACATTATTAATGTCAGATTTGATTTGTTTAGCTTTGAAATGGTTTGGTAGCAAAATTAAAACTTCTCCTCCACCCTGCTTAATGCTAGTTCTTAAGTTACAATACAATCTGAAAATGTGGTAGCCAGAGTTTAACAATTCATTATCTGAATAATCTTGATTAAGCCAAGTTTCTACCAAAATGATGACATCAAAGTTGCATTTTGTAAAAACTATTCTTAATCTTGCATATTTTTAGGATTTGATAGAGATTTACTCCTAACTGCTTGTAGGAGATATGTATATTATTCTTTCTATTTTGTGATCTGTACTTTGACACCAGATTTTTTTTGCTACAGGGAGGAAAAGACTGAAATTTTAGCAGAATGCAAGGAAGAATTGGAACATGCCAAGAATTTGGTAGCAAAACTTAAATCTGATGTAAGTATATGAATATTTTTTTCATTGTTTATATTCATTTATAGATTAAATTATGAAATTATGGTGATATATTAGTTGGCCTGCATTTAACAGGTAACCTTTCAAATTAAACAAAATTTGTTTTCAACTTTTAGTATAATTTATAACAAATACTTATGATTGGCATAAACATGTAAATATTTTTAAAAACCATTTATGAAATAGTATAAAAATATCCCTTGTATGAAGTATTAAATATTTACCTTAACTGTTGCATTACAATAATGGTATAAATACATTTTCCTTCAAACTTCACAGAGGAAGAATTCATATTAAAGGCAAACTGTCAAAAATTAAAAAAAAAAATACTTATCATAGCATAGCATTACATTTGTTAAACTTGATGACAATACATGTTCTATCGAGGAAGCAAGAATACATGATGCATTTTTGGTATGTAGATGTATCGATGCTGTATAAAAACTCATTGACTAATTATCAGTCACTATTTTTGAGAGACTGTGCATATAAGTCTTCACATATTTCAGTCCATCCTGGCACATATTCTGTATGATACCCTTAGATGAGGAAAGAGAATGGATGCGTAATAGTATTAAATTGACTGAAGCCAACAGGCCACCCAGAAAGATTGCCAGGTCATATTTTATTTCTTCAGTAGATTGAGAATAATATCCATATACTAGTTTTTTCAAAATTTATAATTAAACACTGACATAATGATCACTTTTTGCACATGATATAGTGTTCAGTAAATCAGTAGATCTACTGAAAAATCAGTAGACCTGGTAACCCTGCTAAGAGTGAAGTATATGGTAACATACAGGCACCAAACAATGGTGGTCACATCCAAATTGGCTTCACTTGAGTGTTACCTGTCCTTTCTCTTTCCATGTCTAAGGATACCCCCTAGGGATGGTTTCATTTACAGTGCTTATTACTCTTATCTGTTTCTGCTGTTACTGCTTATCTCTCTTAATTTTTGCTATTTGGTGAAATCCAGCTCAAGGTATGGTCTAGTTGTTCAGATAACTTTTTCCAGTTCACTTTTCTAAGATTCCACCCAGGCCGAGGATTTGATCTGATTATTGGAATTGATATGCTGATGGTGATAACCACATAATGATGTTGAATATGTGGGAAGTTTACAAGACACTCTCTCAGCATGTCTATCAATTTTAACTTTTACTAGAGTGGACCACATGGAGGTAAACTAGAATCACACCCCAACTATACAAAAACAAAAACCACTAAATAAATTTACAGAATGTCATCACGTAATTCCATATTTCCATTTATTTTTAACAATGCTTCAAATATTGAAAGATTACAGATCACCATTTAAATTGATGCTTTCATAATTATCAAACTAGTGGCATGGATGTAGTAGACACCAAAAATACACAGAGGAGATTATCTTTGGACTTAAATCAGATTAATTCCACTATACATCCAAATAGTTTACATATTTTTAAAAATTAATATAAAATTCTTGCCATTGTAGAATTCGGAATTACTAACAGAAGCCAGAAGAGTGAAAGCTTACAGAGATGAAGTAGATTCTATGAGAGAGAAAATTGAAAGGGCAGACAGGCTGGAAATTGAAGTCCAACGTTACAGGGAAAGACTTGCAGATGCAGAATTCTATAAAGTTAGAGTGGACGAACTTAGAGAGGACAATAAAGTACTTTTGGAAACCCGGGAAATGCTGGAAACTCAGTTGGCAAGGGCGAGGCAAAGAGGCGATCATATGTTGGAGTTAGAAGCAGAGTTGTTGACCGCAAAGCAAGCAATCAATGATATCGTGCTGGTAAGTATATAGAATCTTTGTTGTAACAATAATAATGTTTTTTAATCAAATAAAAGGCAGATATCAAGCAGTTTTTTTAAATATTGCCCAAAATAATAATAATAATTAAAAACAGTGCTCAATATCTGCCTTTTATTTGATTAAAGTTAATTTATTTGAGCATTCAACCATATATCACTTCAATAATAATGTTGTTTTGTTGCTTTAAAGGAGAGAGATGCAGCTAAAGAAAAGATCCAGGAGCTACTAGATGAAAATCTACAACTTCAGCAGCTCACTAAGGCTGCTCTTCAAGAATCCACCTGTCTTAACACCTCTCTCGATTCAGATATAGAAGAATCAAACTCAGGTGATAACAGCTTGTCAGAACAACTCACCAGTAATGCTCAGGCGCGAGCTTTGAAGCTTGAACTAGAAAACAAACGCCTATTATCAACCATAGATGCTCTAAAAGAGAACAGTTTCTTAGAAAGTGCTAGTAAGATCTTAGAACTGGAAAAGGAGAAGAAAAAATTGGCGATTAGGTGTGAGCAGTTGGAGGAAAGCTGTGACAGGCTGACTCAGCAGAATGGAGAACTGGAGAATCTGTTTAAGAATGCCATACAGGAGACTAGAAAATTACAAGACTCCTTGGAAACTCAAAAGGTAAAATATATCTGGTTATATCAATATTTTGCTATATACTTTTTATTTTGTAGGTTATATCTGAGAGGCAGAACCAAGAACTGAGCAATGAACGTGCCCGTATTGGCGAAATGGAAAACAACATCGAGCATGTTACAAAAGAAAAGCAAAGAGTTCAACTTTTGTGTGATACGATCAAAAAACGCGCTGATGACGCCGAAAAATCTCTTTCTGAAGTATCTGAACAACTTTTGGTTCTTCAAGCAGAATCTGATAAGTGGAAAGAGTTTGAAAAGTCCGCCAGTAAGATGAAAGAAAGGGTAGAGATGTTGGAGAAGGAAAATAACAACATGACGAAGGAGATTGGTAGGCTGAAAGAGGTTTTAGAGGTGAGTGGACTCATATATTAGTGTTATACAATTTTAAGTTGGGTTTAAATGGGTTATTGCCAAAATATATCAGTCTGTTAATGTTTATTTGCAAGAAAAGTTACAATGGAAATACAGATGTCTTAAATCTGCAACTGCAGTGATCTGTGTCTACATTTTCTTTATTGTGTTGATTTTTGTTATATTTGGTAATGTTTATTGTCTTGTTTTAGACTAAAGATGTGTGTGTTGATGAGTACACAGACAAAATTAACAGGCAAGAGAAAGACATCGAACGAATGACCAAAGAAAATAAAGACTTGAATATACAGGTAGAAAAGTTGCAAGAACTAGAGAAAAAAGCTCAAGAATTAATTTCACAATCTTCCATTAATAAGGAAACAATAGCGATGCTGCAAAAAGATCTCGTTAACGAAAAAGTTACCAGTGAGAAACTGAAGAACAATCTGGATAAGTTGGGATTGAATGCCGAGGTACTGGACCATGATGTTGCCGTTGTGATAGAGAAGATGTTGGATAATAATGAATTATTGAAAATTATTGGTAAGAAATTGATTTCTTTGTCTCAAAATACATCTTTATTTAATTATATGTCTTATTTTACATGTGTTTCTCAATTTTTTTTTCTCATAAACTCATAGGAACATTTTTTTTTCTATTAGGTCCTATGGTGAAAGATCTCCTGGGAGAAACTGAGATGGTAAGACAGAGCGTAGTGGAGGAAAGAGACAACCAGTGTGAAAAGCTTCTGGCAGAGATATCTAACCTACAAATATCCAATGACATTCTACAAAATGAAAACGCAACATTAAAAGTTGACGTTTCCACCCTAAGGTCCCAAATTAACTCCCTACAAACTCAACAGACAGCTCTGCAGCTCGCTAACAGTCAATTGGTGGCTGAAAAAGATGAGGTAAGCAACACTAGTGAATACGGGCTCTAAAATGTTGTCTTGTGGTACTCTTATATACATATTTGATATTTTCTTGTTAGTGTCTGTCAAATATCTTAAAAGTTGTAAAACATCAACTTTTAATATACTTTATATTAAAATAAAAGTGCAACTTTTTAGAGTTGATTGTAATTTGTATATTTTTACAGAAGGTTAAGTTATTAAGGAAAGTTCTAGTAAGTACAGTTTGGACAACAATCTGAATGGCTTCTTAATTTGTTTAATTGTTGACGTGAAGCTTAGATCTCTTTAACCATTTGAATTTTTGTGTGAACATTAAAATTACTAAAAAACTTGTTCCATAGCATGCTTTTGCATTTGAACTATTTTTAGATTATGATATAAATCTTAACCTAACTTTACATATTCGAAATTCTGGTCTTGCACCAGTTATTGAGGTTGATGGATTAAATGTGAAAAGTAAAAACCATCTCCAGCAACATACAAAGAATTAGATAGAAACATCAAAAGAAGACTTGAAGATGCCAAAGGAATACGGATTAAATAACAATGTGAAGAAATGGTAATCTTTAACAGAAAATACAATAGGTTCAATAGGTACAAAAGAGTAAATTAGATAGCAGGGATTCGGAAGAAAGAACACTCAGAGTCCACGCTTCCATTTCATACAGTCGCACTGGAAAAATATAGCAATATTTCATTCGAATGTAAAGGTCTATACTAAGATGAGGCGGGATTTTTACATTTTTTTAATGAACAGTTTTTAGTTTGAATGTGTTTCTTTTGCTATTGAGTTCTACTAATAATTTCTAATATGTTTTAGTTATGTAAAAAACAGCAACTACAAAATAACCAACATGACACTCTTCTGTTGGACCAAGTGACCCTCAGAACCATCCACGAACAGCTAAGTTTGGAGTATGAGGAAGCCAAAAACGAACAAGAGAACCTCAAAAAAGTTGCGAGAGACTTACGATCAGAAATGAGGTCTATCAAAGAAAGGAATAGTAATTTGGAAAGCAAAATCGCCGATCTGGAAGCCGAGAAGGATATTTTAAAGAATGACGCTAAGAGTTTAGGAAATTTGAGAGCAGAACATTCAAAATTGAAGGTAAAAACAATTGTTTTTATGTGTTTGGTACATTTTTCATGTTATTATGTTTTGTAGGACGATTTTAGAAACCTCTTCACGGCCAGCGAGAGACTAAAACAGGAATATCGAGCTGTACAAGAAGAATTAAAAAATTTGCGAACTGAATCCAGAAATCTGAGGCTGGGCAGAACAGAAATGCAGGGCGAGCTCAATCTTAGGTCCGACAGAATGGCAGGTTTACAGTTAGATAATGCCAAGCTGCAGCAAAAATGTGACGTGAGTAGATTTCTCTATGTACCCTTTTAATTATATCCTTGATTTAACTGTATCCTTTGATACTATTTCTGAATAGGTCATACCTCGTCAACACCTTTAGCGGTTATACACTCTTTTTATCAAGATTCTTAAGTATTCTTTTTGGGGAACGATTTAGTTAACCCTTTACGACATGAATTTTTGTTATTTGTCAAAAATAAATTCTCAGATAAGAATTTTAATTCTATTTTTACGTGAAAATATTGAAACAAATCTAGCTACGAGGAAAACTGTATTGAAAAAAAATTTTGGTGCCAAATACGGAACATCAGCCAACAATGTAATATTAAAGTCAAACTATTTTGAAGCTACAGTATACACTATACAGTATGAAACTGCAAATAACAGTTTCTTTCTTTATTAATACACAACGGTATTGTGCATTTTGTGCACACTATATATGTTTTCCCTGTACAGCCTGGAAATTTGCATCTTGACCTAGTGCTCTCATCCCAATAGGGAAAATGATCAAGCCCATCTTTACGGATGTCTTCTTGGGGTATTTCTTTAGTGGGTCCCTTTTATATATAGTTTTTTATATAGTATATAGTAGCTGTAGAAGTCCACAACGGCGGCCACGGCGGAGAAGCGGAGCTTTGGTACGGTGCGGATGGCGGAAGTGGCAACCCTCGATTTTAGGGTTGATATAGAATCAAGTCACCGAATGATTGCCGGTATAAGCAGTCCATCAATTACTGGCCAACGGCTTCGGGCGGATGAACTGGTAAATGGAAGGGCACTCTTTTGTCCTGAGACTGAGAAATCGATCTCAAAGGCGGAGGAACTAAGAAATGGTCAACGGCATAAGGATGCAGAAGGCAAGGAGAAACCACTGCATTAAAGATCTTAAGGGATATCTCTAGTAAAATTATCATGGCTGTGCGAAGCGAAATGATTTCTAGTACTGATCATGGATACCGGATACCAAGATCCGGCAGGAGAGGTATATATACTTCATGACAACAGGGCCTCTCAGGTCGTAATTCTGCGAAATCCCTGTGTTAAAAATACAATAAATATTGGTACATGGAACGTCAGAAGCATGTACGAGCCTGGGAAAATTCACAACGTTATACAAGAGATGCAAAGATTAAACATCGATATCCTAGGCATCAGCGACAGGCAACGTTTCGACAAGCAACGGTATGATCTATTTCTCAACGAAATGAATACCCACATCACAGATATGGTGTAGCAATTGTCGTTTCAAGAAGAATGACACAGTCTGTCACTAATTTTTCGCCAGTGTCAGACAGGATCCTGCTCCTACAACTGCATACAAAAACTGCAAAACTTAATATTATACAGGTATATGCCCCTACTGCAGATAAATCAGATGAAGAGATTGAGCAGTTTTATGAACAAATAAATCAAGTTCTAAAGTCTACAAAGCCAAAAGATGTTACAATTATCCTTGGAGACTTCAACTCCAAAATTGGCAAAGGAAAAAGCGGAAAAAATGTGGGAGAATATGGTTTAGGGGCAAGAAACGACAGAGGAGACAAACTTTTAGAGTTCTGTCAAGAGAATGATATGATAATTTCAAATACATTCTTTAAGCTACCCAAACGAAGACTGTACACATGGACGTCCCCTCAACACACTAGGGAAAAAACAATTAGGAATCAGATAGATTATATTTTAATAAATGAGCGATACAGAAACTGTATAAGATCAGTTAAGGCTTATCCAGGCGCAGATGTTTCTTCAGATCATAACCCCCTGATAGCGCGGGTACACATTAGACTCAAAAGACCTTCAAATAAAACAAAAATAGATCACATAGATACCAGCCGCTTACAAGATCCAACAATTAAAGAAGATTTAAAACAACATATCAATGATAACTTACGAATGCTTTCTACAAAGACAGAGAACACGCATGTAGAAGACAAGTGGCAAGATTTAAAAGACGCCATAATAAAACCTGCCCAGAAAATGCTTACCAAAGAGAAACAGAAAAAAGGACGAGAATGGATAACAGAAAAAATTTTAGGTCTCATGGAAGAGCGAAGACAGTTAAAGGGAAAATGCAGCCAAAAATATAATGAAGTAAACAAACAAATCAGAAAAGAAATAAGAACTGCAAAGGAAAATTTTTATACAAGAAAATGCGAGGAAATCGAAGAACTACATCTCAAACATGACACTTTTAACTTACATAAAAAGATAAAGGAACTGACAGGTACACAAAAACGAAAACATCCCAATCTCCTATGCAACGCAAATGGTGAAATAATAGCCGATCTACAAGAAAAGCTTAGGACCTGGAAGAACTATGTAGAAGAATTGTTCGACGATGAAAGACAAGAACCTAATATAGATAACTTGCAAGGCGACGAAGGACCAGAAATAACTAAAGAAGAACTATTATACGCTATAAAAATAATGAAAAATGGTAAATCACCGGGTCCAGACGGGCTCACATCAGAACTTCTTAAGCTTGTGGAAGGCGAATCAGTGAATATTCTACTCGACCTTTTTAACTGCATCTACAAAAGAGGAGAAATACCAAAGGAATGGCTACTTTCAACTTTTGTAACCTTACCAAAAAAGGCAAATGCAAAACAGTGCACTGACTACCGCACTATAAGCTTAATGGGGCATACATTAAAAGTATTCATCAAAGTAATCCACTCAAGAATTAACAGAAAACTAGATGCAGATATTAGTAATACTCAATTCGGATTTCGGAACGGGCTTGGAACAAGAGAAGCACTATTTGCACTTAACGTCATATGCCAAAGATGTCTAGATATAAACCAAGATATATATATGTGCTTCATTGATTACAACAAAGCGTTTGATAAAGTTCGTCACGATCACTTAATGAAACTGCTAGTAGAAAAAAACTTGGATAAAAGGGACATTAGAATTATCTCTAAGATTTACTATAACCAGAAAGCAAATATCCGAATAGAGCAAGAGACAACGGAGGAAATCGAGATCAAGAAAGGCGTAAGACAGGGTTGTATACTCTCACCGACCTTATTCAATCTATACTCCGAAGACATTATAAACACAGCACTTTCGGATCAAAATATAGGTATTAAGATAAATGGCATCCGAATAAACAACTTGAGATATGCCGATGACACGGTACTAATCGCAGAAACTTGGGAAGATCTTCAAATACTAATTAACAAAATAGTAGAATGCAGTGAAGAACACGGATTATCACTTAACATAAGCAAAACAAAAATAATGCTAATATCTAAATCACCACAAAACTTCCCTGACATAACCGTGCATGATCAAAGAATCGAACGTGTAAGAAGATATAATTACCTGGGAACTGTTATCAACGAAAATAATGATTGCTCTGAAGAAATCAGAACCAGAATAGAGAAAGCTAGAGCCACATTTACTAAATTGAAAAAGGTGTTCTGCGGAAGAGATCTAAGTCTAAAACTTAAAATTCGCCTTTTGAGATGTTACGTTATGTCAGTTCTCCTCTACGGGATGGAAACATGGACATTGAAAAAGATCGATACCAAAAAGATAGAAGCATTTGAGTTGTGGATGTATCGTAGAATATTAAGAATACCCTGGACAGAGAAAGTAACAAATGTGGAGGTTTTGCGGAGAGTGCGGAAAGAGAAAGAGCTGATACTTACTGTTAAAAAGCGCAAACTACAATATTTGGGACATGTTATGAGGGGAGATAAATACCAGTTGCTGCAATTGATTATACAGGGAAAGATAATGGGAAAGAGATCTATAGGAAGAAGAAGGCATTCATGGTTGAAAAACTTGAGAGAATGGTACAATTGCACCAATTACCAACTGTTTAGATCTGCAGCATCAAAAATACGCATAGCTTTGATGATAGCCAAACTTCGGAACGAAGACGGCACTTGAAGAAGAAGATATAGTAGCTTGAGTTTAACTATATCTCAATTTCTCAAATAAAAACCTGAACGTTACCGTGCAGACTGATTCGGGGGTGGCTATAGAAGAAGAAACAAAAATTCTAGTATTTTGATTACCAAGAAAATAGTTCCTCAGCTGAACTGTTGTTATCATGAAAAACCGTATTTTCTGTACTAGCTTTTATTTTTTTTTTGTACATAAATATGTCTTTTATTTATATATTTATCAATGCTCTTTTTTATCTTTAGATGTTATTTGAAATGAACCACTCCTTGGACTCTGACAGAAGAGCACTCATGGACCACGTTTCGCAGCTCCTATCCCAATATCACTCTCTTCTAACCCATTCGCTAGAAGACAAACAACACTACCACATTGAAGAAAAACTTTACACCGACAAAGTCAATAACCTATGTAGACAAAAAGAAAAGCTAGAGGAGAAGATTATGGAACATTATAGGAAGCTCGATAACGCATCTTCTAAAAAGTAAGTATTCCATAAGTATTTAAGTACCCGGAAGAAAGTAAAGTACCTTTTGAAATCATTGGTACTCCGGAATCTTTCAAAAAGGTACTATTGTGTGTTTTAATATGGTTAAGATGGATTTTTCAAAAACGTACTATTACTGTATTTATTATAATATACTAGTAATATAATGAAATTAAAGTCTCGTTAGTTTCAACAGCCCTGCTTTGCCTTCAGGTACTGTTAATATGTTTATACTGATATGTATGTATCGAGGGGAGAGACACAACCTTATGTGTCTTATAATGCAAGAAAAGATTAAAGAAAAAATAGGTAAAAGGAGTCCTGGAAAGAAGAAAAATGCTCCTGGCTATTAACGTAATACAATGACGAAGCATGGATACACATTCACCACTAAGGACCTCAGAAAACAGAGATCAATTTTCTGAAATGATTTCAAAACATCAGTGATAGAGAGGGGCATCTAAAAAAGAAGAAGACTAGTGATATAAAGGAAATAAGGAACTTTTGGTGTAACAGCTGTACTTCAATATCTTCCAAACGGTACTATTGATATGTGCATCTATCAGATAGAAAGTAAGGTACTATTATTTCATAACTGGTATAACACTTCTTCCAAAACTGAATTACTTTCAAAATATGTAAGTACCAACGACAAAGTAAAGTATCATAATTTTACTACTGGTCGTCGAGCAATACAGATCGTTGGGACATGTATTGATTATGAAACAGGCGATGAAATGGGTCATAGACAGATGAACTACGAGGTAGCACTAATAGGTACATAAAAATATTGAAAATAGATAAGCAAACAACATTTTCAACTTAGAAAAGAAAGCAACGTCTACAAAATTGACGAACTTGGAGGGAAAACTGTGTAATAACTTTTGTATGTTCTTATTGTTATCAATATTTTTATTTACAGGAAAGGATTTGGTGCAACATTGGTACGGAGAGTAAGAAAAGCTGGTTCAGATATCATCAACAAAGTACCAAGTCGAGTAAGTAACCCTAAATCACATGCGAACGACCTTCGATTACAAATTCATTTGTTTCAGAATCGAAGATCTTGGCATGAAGATACAGCAGCTCGATTGACCCAATCTCAGCTCACTCTTTTACATGACGGGTCTGGAGAATCTAACGGCAATAATTCGGATAATAGTAACGAAGAAACTCCTGTACATAGGGTGGAACCTTTCAAGAGGAGTGTATCAGGTGGGGGAAGCCTTCATGGCCATAAACCAAGGGATGAGGTGGCCATGAGGAGGTCTTCATACAGAGACTTAACGTCTCATAGAAATAGTGTCGCTGGTAAGTACTAATTTCAACGTTGAGAGGGTAGGCATCGATATTTATTATCATTGTGTCTTCAGTTTTATAATGTTTTCAACTAAACTACTAATCTCCATCTTGTTTTAATGTTACTTGCTGTTTTTATTTTCATTTTTAACCATTTAAGTGACTTAGTCCTTATGTAAATCTTTTACCATTTATATAACAATATCTAATAATTTTCAGGCGATCAAATGTTCACGCAAGACCCCAATTTGAGCCTCGGCTCAGTAGGTACCCGTCGTACCGTGTATCTCTCGGAAGAAGACAGCACTCCGGTACCACCTTTGCCGCCAAACAACCGCACGTCCAACACCCCTCCTATGCTGGTATACAACAGGATTTCTACAGTGATCGGGGAACCCCAACGAGTATCTACGCCCCAACCGCAACACACCGAAGAAGTTACTAAGGAAACGGCCAATGGGGAGAGGGAGAAGCCCGCGAAAAGCGCCAAGGAGACGGCAGTATGGTATGAGTACGGGTGTGTCTGATAGATCAATGGAAACTAGAGGAAATGTATTTATTTTTGGAGCATTTAAAAGAGGGAAGAGATAGATTTTAAAAATGACAAGAATTGAAAATGTTAAAAACAATTTTTTATACTGAAACTGAAAATACCGAAATTTTTTAGAAGTTGAGAAATAAATTTTCAATTTTTGTTGGTTTTTTCAACAAAACAATCAAAAATTTCGACTGTGAAAAAGTATTTCCGATTAAATTCGACAATACCAAAATTTAGCTATAATTATTTATAATGCTGCTGCTAAAAATGTTTTTATTATATAAGGAGCAACGTTTAGACCATAAGTGTTCCATATTTTCGAATAATCGCACTTTTAACACATACGTTACACATTATTTTCCTATAAACTCCGGTAAACTAGTCAATAACAAAGAAATCAGAAATTCTGGAACTGGTAACTGACTTGTTATCAATTACTTGGCTTTCAATGTTATTAATGGTAATTGGAGGGATCAGAATACAAGTGAACCAAGTTCATTTTATCTACATTTGAGCTACAGAGGTTTAAAGTTAAAGCTTCCTAACAAAATTACCTGTAAACATTTTTAAAAGTATATATTCAAGATAAAAAGGTCAAGAAGTAACTTAGACATTTACATTGCTTTTATTGGAGAAATTTCATGTAATAACCCCAAAAAATGCAAAAGTGGACGGTTCAAATATATTCTGAAGAATTTTAGGATAATGGACCAACACCCAAGTGTTGTTAATACACTTTATTTTTTACATCTACTTGGAGATCATATTAGAAATATTAAAACACTTTTTTAGGTGAAATTAAAAGTTAATTGACAAAAAAACGAATCGTCGGTGTTATTTCCTTCAGTCGCTTCGTTGTCCTGAGTTTGACTAGTTGGCTGATTCCCTGAAAGGTTTCTGAAGTATCCATGATGAATAGGGGTATGGAAGGCAGCAGAGGCAGCATGTCTCCCTTTTTTTAAATCATTTGTCTTGTGGTTGGGTAAAGCTGACCCTGCTGTACAGTCTACAAGGTTTGCACTTCCACGGGCTTTCCAGGCATTTTTTTACTGTACGGTTTCCAGATTTCCAAGGTTACGAACTTCGAAATTTCACTGAAAGATTTATTTTTATTTGGAAAGCCGCTCCTTTTTTAAACCTCAACCATCGTATTATAAGCCAATTGATTTGCCTACATTCAGTGTCCTTTTCCTGTTTGTGATTGAATCTTCGAGAGGTTTTGTGCTTAAAAACTCTTCTCGTTGTAATTTTACAACTTCAAACTGAGGCTTTTTCACTTTTGTAGTTTTAGTGATATTGTACCAGTCATCAGTCACATTGATGGTCCTAAGTTTCTTGGCTGCTCTCTCTATTAATCCGAATTCAGTATCATTGGGAATGAATGAGTGGCCTGGTATCATAAATTTTAAATCAATTGTTTCGACATCCAATAGAGGGGCTCGAACAAGTTTCAGTAGAGTATGGCTAGTTTTTATATTCCTCTTTTGTTCAGTGCATGAGTCAGAAAACATAACGTTGTCTTTGAACGACCTATCATGTTCATACAAATGTTCCCTAAACCACGAAACTAGATCTTCAGAACCCGTTTCGCCAATAGTCTTATCCTAGATGTGAATATAGGTATATATGTAACAAGCGAGTCTTCTACAGCTGGCGCCGCTTCTCGCATCCTAATTTCCAGCGTTTTCTGTCGAAGCAATCTTCAGTTGTTAGATCTCTGGCGGTCATTGCATCGTCGACATCGTCTCTCCAGGATCGTCTTGGTCTACCTCGTTTTCTTCTAGTTGGCGGAGTCCATTCTTCTATTTTTTTGGCCATCTATTTTCCGGCATTCTCTGAAGGTGTCCATACCAGTTAAGTCTTTTGGCTTCGATTGTGTCTATTATGTCTAGATCGATTTCCATTTCTCTCCGAATATCTTCGTTTCTCACCCTATCAAGTCTAGTGAGCTGGCAACATCGTCTCCAGTAATTCATTTCCATGAATATAGGTAGTGTTGTTATTAAAACAATGAATGCCAAAGTTGTAGATATAAAGTAGAGGTAATGGATTTTAAAAAGAGCTATGAGTCATGCCGATTTAGCACAAAAGTTTACCTGTTATTTACAAGGTCACAGCTCTTGTCAAAATCCATTACCATTAAGCTAGTTGTAAATTTGGGAAAAGAATTTCAAATGTGCAAACATATTGGTCCTGCGGGGCTTCCGCGGCATCTTTTTTCAGTTCTGCTCGCCTTAAGTGCAGTTCTCTTTCTAACTTTAAGTCGGCTGTTCTTTTCAATAGTTTCAGCACGGATTATTAAAATAACTTGTCACAGTTGCTGCAAGTGTCCTTTGAAGGAGGTTTAAAGTGCAATTTAAATTTTTGGCTAAAGATTTGGTAGTGATATTTTTCTTTCACAGGATTTCTGTTCTCACATTTCTGTTTGTATAATTCATACATTTTTTTAATATTCAAATCTTGACTCAAGTATCATTTGTTTTCATTGTCTTTCCTTGTATAGTGGCTGTGGTAGCAGGGAACTGGTCAACAACATATGAGTTGTCAATTTTACGTGACGCTGCTTTTCTTTTTCAATAACGGCAGTAACTTCTGTTTTATTTAAACCTCTGTATAATCGTTCTCAACGTATTTGTAATATGGCAATAAAGTAGGTCGTACAAACTCTCAGCTAATTAATATGTTCATCTGGAATAACGTACTGATACACCTTTGATTTTGCTTCTGATCCATCTCTTGTCAGACGCCTACTGACAGTAAGGGCCTTAACTAAGCCCAGCAGTTTTGTTTTGAGTAACCTGTCAGTTCCAAAATACATGAAAAAAAGATTTCAATGTATCTTCAGAAGGGAACTTCTCACGGCACTTTCTAGGGCATTTACAGTCATATCCAGAGGAAAATATCTCCACTTGCGTTACCTTATTACTGCGAGGTGTGTAGTGGAACAAAGGGAAGAATGATGTTGCTGTTAACAGTATCCGAGGCAGTTACGATGATGTCACATGGAGCTCCATCACCTTAAAACAAATTAAATTGTAAAAAATATTTTCCCGTACAAAACGTATCAATAAGACAGTAAATGCAGACAAACAGACAAATATTTCTGTTCGTAAATATCTTGCACTAGAACCAATTTATTCTAAACATTTTATTTTATCGTCCGCTGTCAGCAAGCACCAAAATAATGTTTGTTAGGCTTTAGACCCAGTTAAAAACTTGTTGAAACAGTATTTCAGAGGTTCAAATACATTTATTCCTTGATGTACTGGGTTGAGTCAGATTATGAGAAGTTGTCGGTTAACGGGTTCTTGGGTAGACGCCTCCGTTTTAATTTGCCGATAGAACAGTCTTGTTATAGTCAGATGAAGTAATACCCTCTATAAAATATATGGAATTAGATGTTTACTGTAATAGGTCAGGCCTTTCTGTGATACACGTTTCAACCAATATCAAACACTGAGTAGCAATCATAAACTAAACTATAACAACATTGTAATTACCTGTGCCAAATTCGTCTGGCGAGCACTCTTTACATGATCCAGATGAAATATCCATCGCATAATACAACCAGCCAACAAAAATAATATGTAATAAACTGCCAAAAGCTCTAACTAAATGTCAACCATCAATCAAGCAGCAATCATAAACAAATAACTATAACACACATTGTAATTACCTGTGCGAAATTCGTCTGGCGAGCAATCTTTACATGATCCAGATGAAATATCCATGCAAAATACAACTCAGCCAACAAAAATAATATGTAATAAACTGCAAAAGCTCTAACTAAATGTCAACCATCAAGCAAAAAGACAAAAGAGGGAATCTAATCCTTATGAAAAGGAGACCAAAAAAGTGGCCTCTGATGGCGGACATATCCGGAAATGCGAATGCGCCAAATTTAAATTTTCCGACACTTATTAACAGTAGCTATATAATATTTTTCAGAATGTGTCTTAGACGAGAAAGTTTTAATTAATTATTAACGGTAATAGTCTAAAATGCGACACAATTGTTAAAAAACTTCAATATAAATAAGATTTCATGTGACATTTGGGACAAACAATAACATAACCCAACTAAATTTGATGTCAAACAAGGAGAGAGACTCTCTTTCCTTGTTTAATGTGGCCTCTAAAGATCGCACTTCCTGTCTAACAATATTTTTGCCCCACTACCTTTACATTCCCTCTTTTGTCTTTTTGCTCGATGATGTCAACACAGAACTGTACACAGTAAACAAACACTACCTGAACTTGGTTCAGTAGTATTCTAAAAGAAAATAGCAATTTGTCACTAAACACCAGAACTTGCATCCTGCCTAACGGATATTATTAGAACTAAGACTTGATTTATTATTACTCTGAAATGTTACCTAGTTTGTGCATGTTATAGCATTTTTAACTCGTAAATGACAAAAAGTGAACTTGGTCCACTTGTATTCACTCTCCAATTATTTTTAAACAATGCAAATGCAACGGTTTTTTATTTCTATAGAAATATTGATTTTAAGTACGTATGTATTTTGTAATATCTATTCAAAATATTATTTTATCTTATGCTAACAATCTTTGGGAGGATTAATTTTATCAGAGTTTGTAGGAAAAGCTATTCATGACAAAGAAAATAATGTATATGGATTTGGAAGTGTACTTTGAAATGATTTATTTTCAAAAGAAATTATACAGTAGATTCAAGTAACAGATTTTTTATTATCGAGCATAGAGCTGGATTAGGATGTAAATTCACTGTTCTAAAGCCCCAATATCCTCGAGAAATAATGTAAACTTTATTATACAGAACTTTATTTACTCATTATTTTTATGTTTATCGCGTTATATTATTTTATTTTCATTTTTTAGAATTGTAGAAAGGCGTTCGATAGGTTTCAATGTATAATTTTTGAAAGAAGCCTTTAAGGTTTTCTTTGGCACAGAGGAGTAACTGTAAAAAATCCAAATGTAACACTGACAAACCAATGTTACAGTTTCTTCTTCGCCGGTTCCATTCGTTATTAACCGCATAGATGGCAAAGGTGACTAAATAAATTAATATAAAATTATAATGTGGATTGTTATTGGATATTTTTATTTTCAAACAATAAATTTTTACAAATTTCTTAGTTATGATAATTTTAGTAGTGATGGTGATATTCTACCTTAGTTATGACCTAGATTATAAAAAATAAATGTAATAGATGTTGAAAATTGTTATAAATACATATTTATATATCTTTCAGTACCCTCTGTTTCATAAAGATAACAAAAAAGCTTCGATTCTCTCGTTAACTCCCCGGTTCAACACTTTTCTTGTTTGATTAAAGCTTCCAGTTCTTTTACATTCTAATCCGAAAAGAAATGCTAGTATAGGAAGCAGAAAAAGACAGTTCTTGCCAATAATAACATTAGTTCGATAGAAACGTTACCCAGTTTTTTTACCAGTTGTTTTTAAACATAATTTTAGATACTTTTTACAACATATATTAGGGCTTCCGTCAAGTCCTTCTATAAATAATAGGCTTTTATAGCTTTCCCAAGTTGTGTTTCATTCTAAGCAAATTTTTAGAATAGATTTTTTTATTGGGAAACAATACACGGCAACATTGTAAGTTTTATGGTTATATACAAAAATGAAAGCTGGATATTGCTAGAAAAAAATGCCTAGTATATAATTATTAATGAATGTTAAAAACATATTAAAAAAAAGATATTTTGTAAACATTACAGAATTGGGAAACCTATAAAAGCTGATGAAGGAAAAAATGTGATTTTATTCAGTCTGCCAACAAAATGCAATAGTAGATAAAGAAAAAGTTAGGTTAGGGAATCTTTTATACGAATTGTATTAGTTTTTGTACTTAATTTGTAACCGGTTCATGCACTCTTTTTATTTTAAAAGCTTCGTACCACTCTATTTATTAACTCGTCTAGGTAGTATTCTTGAAGAGTATGACAATTTTTCCCAGTGATATATGTATGTATTATTTTGAGCTATTTATGTACGCCAATGCACAATGAAAAAAAAAATAAAGATTTTAAAAATATATTCGTTTTATTTTGCTATTTAGAGGGATTCTCCCTGTTCTGGTAAACCACAGACCTTTCCAGTGTGAGGTTCATATTCCTATCTTTTGTTTAAACATGCAAAAATTATCCTTAATTGATGTTTGGTGTATAAGTTGACGTTTCCTCTCTAGAAGATGCTAGGTTTCACCTATCACCTATGTAACTACTCGAGAATGTAGATATCTACGCAGAATTGTCTGGTGAACATGAGGCCTTTTAACTGACACCTCTATAGCTGAATAATAAACTAAGGCTATGCACGTATGGATAAAAAGTATCGGCCTCATACATCATAAGATTTCTACGCCTCTACCCATAGCTTCAGTGGCTATCGTTGCCATTAGTCTTCCTGTAGCCATAGTACTGTCATAATTCAAATCGGCGAGGATGAAGTTGGTATTGTGGTAGGTAAAGTTGGCAGTTCCATGAAATCTTTCCCACGAGGTTTGTATGCAGAATTCGCAGTCATAGATAAATATATATAATAAAGTCCATAGATAAATAAAAAGATAAGTCAGCCATCCGGGTGCACGTACATTTGCTTTTGACACATGTCAAATAATAAAATTGTCTTAACTCTAGATATTCCCTGAATCAGACTTATGATACGACTATATAAAGGGAGAATGAAATTAATACCGTTCGTAATTTATAATAGATTAATCGATAGAACTGGTCAGTAAAGGATAAACCGGTTAAATTGTTGTCCAGGTTACGCCCCATTCCATTTGTCTCTACGATTGTCATGTAGCCTCCAACGTCCACTGCTGGACATAGACCTCTCGTATGCTTTTCGACTGACACTTTTTCCACAATTTATAGTCACTCCTTTTATGTAATTAGTCCATTTCGTCGGTGGTCGACCTGTTTCTGTTACATTGTATTAGATATTCTATTATTATTATTAGATCAATAATTTGTAGAATGCACTGATTAAATATTTTTCTTTTCAGACACATTGCAATGTTTGGCCTAAAAATATCCATATTTCCAAATCTAGCCCAAGTTAGGTTTATTTTTCTGTTCAGCTCGGTTGTTTGGTGGTCTCAGTTTTTCTGATCTCGTGGCCCAAATACATTTTGGATCACATTTGAAATATTTTTGCTCAGGACTAAATTGGTCATTAATTGTGTTTGGAAAATTTATTTTTAGACCAACTCTCTTTGTGATAGTATGGAGCTCTTGGAGCATTATGTGTTCATGTTTAAAGCTGTCTGCATTGACAACGATGCCATCTGCAAACTTTTCCATCCAGATTGATGCCCTTATTCCAATCTATTGTTTTACAGGCGTGTTGACAAACTGTAACTTGTTTATAACTTGTAGGAAAGTTATTAACAATTTAGGAGACATGTCTCCTTGCCGAACGCCACTTTCAATACGAAAGGTCCAAGT